TACCATTCACGTCTATCTATGATGCACCCGAAGGGGCAGCCAAGAGATCACACAGCCGTGATGTACTTCTGTCGCTTGTTACCCGCCTGCTAACCTATCAGTAGCTTCCTTCATCCTCAATACATTTGCAACTGATTGAGCAAGATGGACGTATTGGGGGAATCGCAGGTAATCGACAGCGTTGACCATAGCACAAACATGCTGTCCTCCTCGCTTATGCAATCACAATCTCCAACGAAAACACGCGCAACATCGCATGAGTTCACGATAGCGTGCGAAAACCGGCTCATAATCATGTTGCACCTGATCCTGCATTTCACGTATCACATGCCACTGGACATCTCCTGCTTTGATGCATCACATGACATGACATGACATGACAATGTACTTGGTTCGAATGACGGGAGCGAGAGTGCTATGTTTACAGCTTCACTGTTTCTTTGGCGTAAGGACTGATTTTATCATGCTGCGTGCTTTGTGCATCACTACCGCGTTATCGTTTTCAATGCATAATCTGCAGAAGGCAGTCGTTCCTTTGTGGTAAGCTCGCACCGTACTGAGGTATTTCGGTGGATGAAGCACTCCACGATCTTTCTTGTGCCACGAACAGCTTGATCTGGCACAATCTAATCGAAGTACCGCCTTCTGCAGACATTTGGATCGTATCCAAGCAACCACTTCGCGAAAACAAGAAGTTTGTCACGCAATGTAAGATAGAGTATGAGGAAGGGATGACCTTCCCGCTGACAGCGGCTTGTCTTGCCTGGCAGCGATCAGGCAATCTTTTGTTCTTGAGACGTCAAACGCCTGAATAGAACAAAGCAGTTTCGAGCGAACTCTCTTGCATTATTGCTCCAAGAAGGACAGGTCGTCGTTGCGCCAAGCCCTCAGGTTGCGTCAGTACCCTCCGGCAGCTGCTTTGATACACTACGGTAGCCGAGACAATGGCAAGAGTATTCTCATTTTGATGAGGCTGAGTCACAAAGAGTGCTTGCTGCCACTTTAGGTGGATGGGTGCACTTTGGGTGTCATGATGCGTACGCTAGCCAATACTCGAGAATAGCCTCCAGAGTACAATGCTACATTCCCGGTGCTTGTTGTTATCGCTGACAGCTAGCTCTGTCACCACGTCCCGACGTGCAAGCACAACCGTATACATTGCTTGCAGACTTGTTGTTGAACAAGTACCTCTGGTCCGTAACTTGTATCAACAAGTGACCGAGCGAAGTTAATCGTTTGACCTAGACGGCTGCGCTGCAGCGTTTCTCGAATCCATAGCGAAACTCGTGATATCATGCGGGCTCGATCGAGCAGATACAGGCCCGAACTTAGAACGCAAACCGGAACTTTGGAGGCACGAATGATTTCACGAACGCATAAGCACTATAGCACTTGGTAACATGGAGCCCGCTCTAGTAAAGTGCGTTGTGTCACTTGACGATGGGCGGCGTCTACTTTGACTGCCTTTTTGCAGCCATCGTTTTTGTGTGTACTTGGTATCGTCGGGTACATCACACTGGAGACTCCTTTCTGATCTCAGTCTTTCGGCTGCAACTTCACTTCACCTCGGCACAAGCGAAGTGATCCCCACGAGGGTCCGAGAACTTGGACACGTATCCGTAGTCGAGCCTGCTCGCGCACTTCATCGGATGGCGGCGTAATTTCGACGAAGCACATCGACGTTTGTTCGAGACAGAGTCCTGACAATATCTGGAAACTATTGACAACAGCAACAACACTCGTCCCATTCTAAACAGAACAATATCTCAACCTTACCACCTGATGATGCCGGACTGCAAGGCTCACGAGCTTACTTCGGAGAAAGCATTTATGGAGCCAACTCAATGCGGAGACCGGAAGCATGGCGTCTAATTCGAACGATCACCGTCACTTCTTGCTGCTCAGGGCACATGATAGTTGCTGCCTGTAGCAGCTATCGTGTGACGAGGCCCCATCAAATCTACTTCCGTGCCGTGAAGGCGTAGGTGCGACGTGAGGGAGTGCGAGCACTCATGACGGTTTGTCAAGAGGAGGTATGTATCCATCAATATCTACAGCAGGCTTACTGGGTTTTACTACGTATGTCACAACACTCCCGCCCGCGTAGGTGTGGTCAGCAGAGAGTTGAAAGAGCATAAACGCACGTGGACACCTTGCAATACACAGTCCCTTACATTCATCTCGTCTACTTTCTATCCTAGACTCTTTTGCGTTTCAAGGACAATGAACGAAGCTCTTTCCTCCTCTTTCCAGACCAGTGGGTCCCTCTGCTGTATAACGTGTCAGTGATGTCAACACTTGCAGATGCCGAAGAGCTCCGCGGGCAGATGAAGATCACTGCAGACTTCTTGCTTCGCGATAATGCGATCTTTGTGCATCTGAGATGAGCTGTTGAATGCCAATCCGTGCTCAGCAATGCGTGTACTTTCCTTTGTGATGCGTGGCAGACCAGCTGCAAACAGAGACTGTCGGGTTACTACGCACGCAGGTCAAACACGAAGCATAACGCGGACAATATCCGCTGATACGTCTACGGTGGATTCCGACTCTATGCGGGGCAGCAGTCTTCGCATCTGGCGGGCAGTTTGCACAGAGGCCTCTGCAGCACCGAAACGGCTGTGCCTGACGTCCCGCACTTCAATCGAAAGTGGGACATGGCTCGCCTATGCTCATCATAATGGTCGTCTCTTTCTGAAAAGGATGTCGGCAGCATGTGCTCTGCGAACTGCTCGAGTCATTGTGCGACTCAGCATAGTCGCGTCTAGACGAACGATACTGGATAGTGGTGGTGGATGTGTGATGGCTTGGTCAGTATTGTGCATTTCCGTGATAGGATGCGGGGCGGGCGTTGAGGGGTACACTGCTGATATAAATGCAGACACTCGTCGGTTACGTGGGTGCAGTAGGAAGGCGTCATCTAAGCAGGAATTCCTCATGGTCCAATCGTCATCAAGAGATGCCAATAACAGGATACACTGCATTTCTCTCTCTTAACACATGCGTTTGTGTCAAATCAATAAAGACGATCCGTGGTCTTTTTCGCGCAGGTCAGCAAGTGCTCTACAATCGGTGCCTTCAATTGGCCTTTGCCCATATTTGGACGAGCTTCGTGCGATCATCGGGTACTATTCATGCTCGTTCGCTGATGACCGACCGTTCAGCTGTAGTATCATTGTTCACGAATGGGTCGGCTGCAACATGTGCGCGATAAGACAATGGTGCTATTATTACTGCTGGCTGCAACGCTCGCTTCGCTTGACTTCTCTGTGGAGAAACAGTTGGTCACGAAAGCAATCGGAGCTGTTCCTTACCACTCGGAGAAAAAAACGAAGTATGTGTTTCTATAGCAGTAAAGTGGTGCAGGTTTAGCTGTGCCGCATGGTATCCATACCAAGTCGCACTGACTTTATGGAGCAAACATCAAGCTATCGGTCCAGAACAAAAGGAACGTACGCTTTGGGCCATGGCAAACTTCATGCAAACGGTCTGCAACCGTTTTGGCGCTCTGGTGACGTTATGAGCAACGCGCGAGCACAATAATAAAGCTGCATAGTGCACGGTATGCCGCTGGCCAGCGACTTCATGCGAGCACGTCCGTTCCCGGTCATAACCAGTAGATGACCGTATGCAGAGTTGTCACCACACCTCAATGCCCGCGCGAGTCAAGAGCGTTCAAGCAGCGCATCGCGTCTTCCGGCCCGTCTTTTATGTCGTCGACTAGCAGGCCGTTTCGTTCCTCTATCGGCAATGAACTGTCGCAGCGAGAGCACCAAAGCGTTAACTTAATAAATGAGTGTTCTTTGTCGCGTCATGCAACTGACGTAACGCGTCGCAAAAGAGTGTTGAAAGTGCGTGAGTACCGTCGATCATGACACGGTCGTTTACAGATACCCTACGGCGGTTGTTCAACTACAGCAGCGAGACACAAGAGCAACACGTGTCGGCTTTTTGCTGCAATCGCTTCGTCGCGACCGCTTTAAGACGACTGCGTCGAGCACGCACAAGTCGGTCAATCACACTCGAGTCGACTGACTCAACGCGAACAAGTAGTGCCCACCCAGCACGTGGTCGCACGTCAACTACGTGAGCCCGTGCATTCACGCAGGCCCTTTTAAAAGCTCTAGTCGTCGCAACTGGTAATCATCAAGTAAGCACCTGCTCTCTTCAAAAAGCGCGACTCCCGAGTGCATCACACTCGACTTTCGACTTTGCGCTCTCGTGAGTGTGTGTTTGTATGGCCCGTCAAGTGTAACGACCGTCACTGGTTCTGTCGTTCACTACGCCGCGCACGGATGCAAAACGTCACGTGCCGTGTCCATTGGAAGTCGAATGCGGAGAAGCAGCAGCAGCAGCAGAGAAGCTGAACAATTCCATACAGAGAGTGAGTGAAACAAAAGAGAGAGCGAGCGAGAGGGGTCGCCAAAGCGGGTTACGAGCAAGAAAAAAGCATGTTGCACACATAAACGTGCGGCATGGCGCACTTATTGCAGTGGCCACCAGCCGGTCGCCGCGGCCCCAGTCTACCACCGACGAGGGCCAGGGTTTCAGCGTTTCAGCCAATGACGAGCCCGGAGCGTCGCCTCGCGACAGGCAACAGGACGATCGCTCGATGGCTGACTCTCTCTCTCGCTCGGTCGGTCGCCTCCTGCGGCTGCTGCTGCTGCTGCAAGTCGCGCGTTCACTCTCAGGTTTTCCTCGGGAAACGCTCTCACCGACTGGAGAACGACCGACAGTGAGCAAGTGGTTTCCTCGGTACCCACTGCGTGGCGCTCTCTCTCTCTCGCTCAGCTTCACAGGCGAAATTTATTGACTCGCACAGACTGTCTCACGACTGACGGAGTGGACGAAAGAAGAGGAAAAAACAAGAGGCAAAAGGCGACTCGAAGCGACTGGTTGGGGTGGAAGCGGTCACGACGGACGCGTACGTTGCGAGCGGACGAAGCAGAAGAAGAAGGAGAAGAAGGAGAAGGAGAAGCAGAAGGAGCGAGTCGCGCGTGGTGATGCCGCTTAAGTTTGCAGTCGTAGCGGCCGCACTTTTCGTGCTCTTAATAGAGGGCGGAGCTGCTCAAAGTGGTACGTTGTGTGTCTGTCTGTGTATCTGCTGCTCGTGCCGAGAGCAGTCGCCAATGGGTACCGTTGAGCCGCACTTACTGATCGACGTATGGCTATGAATCGTGTGTCTAGATTGTCCGTACACTGTCAGCGTATTGGACGTCCCGGGCGTGCAGTGCACGACAGCTGTGCCATGTTCCGGCACGTACTACACAACTGGATTGTCTCAGGGCGTGGGGGCATGTCCCACGGGCTCGAGCTGTGCTTTGCTGCCGCTTACGCCGATCATGGGCTGTGCTGCTGCAGGTCGTCCGGACCTCATTTACGTGAACGCCGACGGCACGTTGACAAAAGGCGGCAGGTCGGTGACACTCTCAGGTACTATCATCGTGGACGTGACACTCGCACCGAGTCGCAGCAGCAGCGGCAGCAATAGCAGAATGGAAAGCCATAACAACACCAGCAGAATTGGCTCGTCGAGTAACTCGCGGTCGTCTGCAAACAGCTCCAGCGACAGCAACGCAAGTTCAGGCTCGCAGTCGATGCCCGGCAGCTGGGATGGTACGGCTCTTTTGATGTTGCAGCTATTGTGACTGTCATTATTAGCAGACGCCGTTTGGTTTGGTTTGCTTTGGTTTGCTGGCACGTTACTGACGCTGTCTGTCTTCGTGTTTTTTTTTCGCTCTTTTGCTTTTGCAGATGACAAGAGCGATGCTTCGGACAGTGGCAACTCCACGAGCAACGACAATGCCGCGAACAGTACGTCCCGGTCGCGGCCATCCGACTCGGGCTCTGGGTCGTATACGATTTCACCCGCCAGTAGCTCTGCCAACCAACAGGCTCAGTTCAATCCCGGATCGATTCTCAGCGATAGTTCCAAGTCGTCGAAGTCGTCGACAGGCGGCGGCCTCGGTCTCGGGTCCATCATTGCTATTGTCGTGGGCTGCTTGGCCGTCGTCGCTATTGCAGCTGGTGCTCGGCTGCTGAAAAAGGGCAAAGAGGCCGATTTGGCAACGCCGGATGCTGTTGCAGAAGCCTATAACAACGGGGGCGGCGGTGGGGGCGGCGGTATGACTCCAAAGGAAAGTGTGCTGCTGCTGTAAGTTTATGGGCAAGACGGCGGAAAATCGAGACGAGAACTCTCCACGCAGACAGAGGAGACTACAGTGACTGGGCAAACTTTTTTGACGATGGGCATGCGTCGGTTGCGAACACAAATACCAGGCGCGGTACAGGGGAGACGAGAGGGAAAGAGAGAGAGAGAGGGCGAACGAGCGAGCGAGCGAGAGAGAGCAGACGAAAGGGTGCGGTGCCGAAGGTGGCCGTGGTGTCGGGGAAAGCGGGGAGAGTTAGATGCACATGTGAATAGTGGCTCTCCGCTCTTCTACGGTTGGGTTCACGACCGTTATCTACGCATTGCCGTCATAGTAAACTGCACGCGAGCTAGCTCGGCGGGTTTCAGCATCTATGTGTGCTAATTATGTTGATTAGACGTTGCAGTGTTGCGTTGCGTGAGTGAGTGAGTGTGTGGCTATGTGAGTAGTACGACAGTGTGTATGTGCGCGTTCCGTTGCTAGCCTGTATGTAAAGACAGCATAGCCATCGATTACGACGAGACGCTACTCGTGCGTGGGTTTGTGCCAGCGATATACCACCGACGGGGAACCCAAGCAGCCGAGAGCCAGCCAAGCGTCAGCCAAGAGCCAGCTACAGGTTCGACAAGGTATCATCAGTAACGACCATCAACACGACATGTCTCTGGGTCTGAGGAGAATGTCTCTGCAAGGAATCGAGAGACATGTGCCCAACGAGTGAGCAAGTGAGCAAGTGAGCAAGTGAGTGAGTGAGCAAGTGAGTGAGTGAGTGAGTGAGTGAGTGAGTGAGTGAGTGTGTTGTGGCAGTGTATTCGTCTGCCGACGTTATAAGAGATACCACGAGACCTCACGATCTCTTCCACACCGGCAGCAAAAGCAGCAAACAGTCCACTCGATCGTCAATGGATCACTCCCTCGTCCGCGAGTTCCCTTACGCAGCCTTTACGCCCCTCGCGGCCGCCTGCGCTTCCTTGAGCGTAAACGACGTGGCCGTTGCGTCGACAACGCCGTACTTGGCATAGAGTCGGGCAATGCGGTAGAACGCCTGCAGAATGGGTTCGTCGCTCTGGCGCACGAGCGCCGGGAACGCCCGACGGAACGCAGCGGTCGCAGTCTTGAGCTTATAGTGGGGAATGATCGGGAACAGGTGGTGCACTTGGTGCGTGCCAATGTCGTGGCTCAGGTTGTCAATGAACGCGCCGTACGAGCGGTCAACGGACGAGAGATTGCCCTTCACGTACGACCACTGGGCGTCTCCGTACCACGGCGTCTCCTCGTCGTTGTGGTGCAGGAACGTCGTGACCACGAGCAGTGAAGCAAAGACAAAGAGCGGCGCGTAGTAGTACAGTGCGACCGTGCGGAGGCCGAGTTGCCAGCAGCCGTAGAGCGAGAGGCTGGCGACGGCCGCTTGGGCCGCGAGCGAGACGGTCACAGCCGCCACTTGCCGCACAAACAGCGGCTCGAACGGGTTCAAGTGGTTCACTTTGCGGGGCGGAAAGCCCTCGACGAGGTACGCGGCCCACGCCGCGCCGAGCGCGAACGTCAGGTGGCGGGCCACCGGGTGCTCGTCGGGCGCGCGTTGGGGGTAAAAGATCTCGTCGCGGTCGATGTTGCCCGTGTTCTTGTGGTGGTGGCGGTGCGTGAGCTTCCACGACTCGAACGGCGTGAGGATGAGCGCGTGCAGGAGCGTCCCGACGGCAAAGTTGAGCAGCTGGTAGCGCGAGAAGGCGCCGTGGCCGGCGTCGTGGCCGACCGTGAAGAAGCCCCAGAAGAGCAGTCCCTGGAGCAGCACGTAGGCCGTGCAGAGCGCGGCGCGGAGCGGCCACAGGCTCTGGACGAGCGGCTGCGCGAGGGCGTACGTGAGGCCGACGGCCAGCGACGTGGCGAGCACGAGCGACCGCAGCGCGTAGTAGAGCGACAGCGGCGCCGACGACTCGAAGCACTCGCGCGGGAGCGACCGCTTGATGTCTGTTAGACTCGGGAACGCGACGGGGGACGGGGCCGCCATCGACAGCGGACGACGTGATACGACGTGATGCGATGGATCAAAAGCGGAAGTGGGGCGCGTGCGGGACGCGTGGCGACAGGAAGTGGATCGGTCGATCGATCGATCGATTGCGGGGACGCGAAAGATACGGGCGGAGACCGAGCGAGCGGAGCCACCAACCGACCGAACGGACCCACGCGGCACACGGCGGCGGATGGTGAACCGCCGAGTTCGCCGGCAGCAGCTGACGTCATATGGTTCGGGACGTCCACCAGTCAGCGGACGGGTTTGGGATCGGGCGGTCGATCGTCGCACATTGGCACCAGCAGCAACAGTTGCAGTAGACCTATTGCCGTCGTCGCTATCGCCGTCATCTCTCCTCCAGTATGACCCATTGGTTGTGTGTCGGACTGGACACGGACGGACCGATTGATCGATTGATGATATCGACATGGCAAGTACGTTTACTTGACACCTGCTTAACGAAAGGGTAGCACCACCTCGTGCTGTAAAATGTCTTCGGCGAGTGGCCGCTGGAGCGCGTCGGGATGCATCATACTGGCGATCAGATGCTGCAGCGAGTTGGAGTATTGGCTGGACCACGAACACAAGAGGTGTGAGCAACGCGGAGCTTGCGACCAACATCAGAGTCACACGAGCGCACCGAAACATCACGAGGTCTCCGTCGCGGATCTTCTGCCACTCTTCCCCACCACTAGCCAGAGTCGTGCCGAGCGCGAGCTCGTAGATCGTGGCTCCTAGAGCAAAGATATCGCCGGCGCGCAAGTTGTTGCGGTTGCCTTCGAGGAGCTCTCTGCGTCGAAGAACAAGTGAGCGCGTGAGTGATTGCGCCGCGAGGCCTCTTGACAAAGTGCACGACACACAGCACGTACCGACTGAGATACCGATTGTCGCCCTCTGTGATCTCCATGCTGCCGTCCAAGTGCGCGACAGTCCCCAAGTCGCCAAGCTGCATATGAAGAGAAATGCGGTTACTGACACCATCTCGGAACAGACTTGTCACACGTGAGAGAGAGCGACACACTCACACACCTTATAGACTTCTCCTGGACCAACCAAAACGTTTTGCAACTTGACGTCCATGTGCACCATCTTCTTGCTGTGCATGTCGTACAGGGCCTGGCGATGACGAGTTAGCCGACGTATTCCACCATCATGTTTGCAACGACTGAGCGTGCTCACCTGTGCAATGTGGCACAACAACTTGCACAGCACTTCCTCTGGCACCTTTTGTGGCGCGTACTTGTCGACAATGCTGCCTAGCGAGCAGCCCTCTAACCGTTCCAGCTGGATGTAGAGCAAGTCGTCTTCGACCCACGCGTCGAAATACCGCACAACGTGGTTACTACTGCTCAGTGCTGCCAGTGCCTGCACTTCTCGTAACGCTCGTTCGCTGCCGACATCAAAGACAACAGGACAATCGCTTGAGCTCGAGCAGAATAGTACACATCACCCGACGCTACGTACGTATCTGCCTTCCCACGAAAGTGGCGCTTGTTCTTCTTTACGGCGTACTCCCACCCGTCAATCTTTTTGATACACTTGTACACTTTGGAAAACGACCCTGATCCAATCAACTGCCGTACACACACGTGCTCAGCACAGGTTACTCATCGGTGCCTTCAGTCCTCTATCGCCACCAGCAGCGGCAGCAGCAACGTACCCCGAGTTCCGAGAAATCCGACAAGTACTTGGCAAGAGGCGACGATCGGTTCTGTTCGCCCACCCACGTTGACGGGAAAGACCGTCGTTTGCGTCTCAAGCTTTTCCTCTTTTTACCCGACTCGGTCGTGGGTTCGGGCGCAAACGGGTTCACGTAACTCTCGGCAGACAAGAGCGACGTCGTGTGTTCTCTACAGTCCACAAACGTCCACACAACACGACACACACCACACACAAAGAGACACAACAACAACAACAACAACATATGAGCACCAGCTTTCACTCCCTCTTCTCCTCCTGCACGTCCAGCGTCTGTCTCACCCTGTCTCCCGTCCTCGCTTAGCACGCACGACAACATGCCCGTCTTTCTTCGTCAGGGGCGACGACCCGTGTACGTCCATCGACGACTGACTCGAGAAAAACGACGGCGGCCCTCGCGCTGCTTGTCGCACGTCCATGTGCGTCAAGTCCTGCGTCAAGTTCTGCACGTGTTCTTCGGGGATCAACTCAACCGGACTCTCGAGCCGCGCGCGTTTCTTCATGGGCGACGGCGTCGTGGGGTTCGACAAGGGGATCACGGGCTGATCTCGGGGCGTGAGGAAGTCGAGTTCGTCCTGACTGCACGTCGACGGCACATGATGCAGCGCATAGGACTGCGACTGCTGCGACAGCAATTGGTACCGATGGGACAGCTGCAGCGGCGTCTGAAAGCTGTTGCGACTCGTGGCCCGCACGGGCGTGCGAACGGTCGTGGGCTCAACGTCCGGCTCTGTGCTGCGCTGACTGCACGTGCCACGACACAAAGCACTGGTCAAAGGCGTGCGGTCGCGTATCGCGCGGCTCAACGTGCCGTCGCTGCTGTCGTCGTCGTCATCGCCCACGTCGTCATAGTCGATGCGCTTCGGCAGGCACTCGTCCGTCTCGTCTGTCCCGTCCTTCTTGTCCTTCTTGTAGGAGCACCAGTGGGTCTCGCGCGTGGGCGTGCGAACACGACGACTTCTGTCCTGCTTGACGGCCGTCCTAAGGTGGCGCACACCATTTTCGGCAGTCGTACTGCCAGCGCTCGTCGTCGCAGGGACGCGAAGGTGCGACTGGGGGCGGCCAATCGTCGCCGTGCGGCTCAGAACGTCGTTCATGACGCCGGCGGGTCGAAACTGGTGCGTGCTTTTGGCCGACGCTTCGAGCGACCGCCGCGTTTTGCGCAGCGTGCGGCCCCTCTGCGCCGTTGGGACGTGTGGCTGCGCGAAAAAGTCGGAAATGGACCGCTGCGTCGTCGCGTGGCGGTGAGACGAGCCGCTGCCTGGCGCACGGGCTTTCGGGGGCATGCTCGGCGACCTTTTTCCCGCCTTTTTCGACAACAATGCACTGGGGACGCTGGCGGGTTTGGGAAATATTGCATCAAGGAAGGAGCTGCGCGACACAGTCACGTGGCGGTTGTTCGTCCAGGATTTCTATTGCACTGCTTTTTTCTATCGTCGTTTTGGCATCCTTCGTATCGTTAAATAAAGTCCATCACATTAGTTTTGCCTCGACGCCTGTCGCGCTTAAAGTGTGTTTTCCTTTCTTTGTGCTGCTTGTGGACAGGATGATGACATTCGTGGCAGATTAAAGTGCTTTTTTCGCCGCTTTCTTCTGCAGCTCGTTTCTGCGACCTAGCTTTTGTGTGCTGTTTTGCTATTCACTGAAAAGGGTTTTATTTCAGTACGCTTTCGCTCACGAGTACATCCGAGAAGTAGTATCTTTGCGCACCTGTACGTCAAAGCGCGACCGGTGTCTGATCACTGCCATCGAGATGACCACTTTCATTGAGATCGACGACGTCTCTGGCCGACATGCCTCGTATACTATGACAGTATCTTTTGCCAAAGTGCGGCAGTCGCTACGCTCGGACAGGAGACTATATAGCACTTTTGGATCAACTTGCATTACATCGCTACGATGTTGGCGTCTTCTTGCGGCACGACCGACGAACGTGCTTGCCATAGTGCATAAAATCGCGTGGGCCCACCATATCGTCACGAGAAGAGCAGCAGTGAGCTCTTCATCACGTTAAGGACCCCACTCTTACCATGTGCCAGTGCAAGCGAAGATCGACTGATGCCCCACCAACTACTTGGCAGATCTTGTCAATGTCATGATGCTACGAAGTTCTTTCTTCTCATCTCTCTCCTACAACAATAGCACGGACGCAACGACATCCTGACCTGCCATCTCGACAGTCTCAATCTAGTAGCACCATGAGTCAGCTAAGCACGACCTCCTGCTAAGCACGACCAGCTTTCCGACATCAAAGCAAATCAGTAGTGTTCAAGAGGGAAACTCGCACGTAACGCCTTATGGTCAAAAGTTAGAGAAAAACGAACGACCACGTTGAAGGAACTAAGCAAACTGCGGAAACACTTCACGACGCGCACAACAACAACCCAATCCGAACGATGACGGCCACTAAGTGTAGCAATCACACGTCTTCCACTGCTTGGTACACAAGAAGCAAAACTGATGGCCGTTCAAGCACGTCATGTGATTGCATCCCGAAACCTTTTGCACACCCACGCCACAGCCAGGACACTGCACTGCATGGTTCAGCTGCACCATATTGGCGTACTCGCGATCCGACTCGAGGTCTAGTGAGCGCCACGGCTTTTCTTTCAAAAAGCGCTCGTAGGTAGTCAACTCGGCAGCGCTCAATACTTCTGCAACATAGTCGGACGGGAACTCTCGTTGACAACAGTGGGCAGGCACCATCGAGCGATCGCGAACGCCCATGCGACAGCGCGTCGCAATACACTTTGTGCAGTATAGATGACCGCAGGATAACATGCGGCGAGTGCTTTCGTTCGTGAGAGGCGCACAGCAGCACGTGCAATTCGGCGGTCGTTTCGCTTCCTCCTCGTCTTGAGCGACAAGCACAATCACATCGTCGTCACTGTCAGTGTCCAGCTCGATAATAGTGGGGTTCAATAGCCTGTGCTCATCCTTTGCATGGAAACTCATAGCAACCGCCTCATCTAACATGAGCTGCTCGGCTCGCCGAATTTCTTCGCGGTACACTTCTAGTGCATACACTTCAGCGAGTTGACCTTCGTCCGTTTCTCCGTCAGGATTGTCAATTGTGTCGGCCTCGCGATCCATGACGTACTCACAGTGACCTGCGAACACAAGCTCTCTAAGCTGTTCGACATTCGGAAGCAATTCCATGGTCCCCCTTGGACGAGAAACGGTAGGGGTATCGACACGAAGCGAGAGATTGAGAACTGCTATTGATACGTTCTTCGTCCAGCCTGCCATGGCTTTTCCCAGTAAATAATGTGGTTGTCAACTGTAAGCAAAAGCTGGCAATTTTACTTGCTCGGCTCAACTGAAGGACTCAAGGCTCTTGTTCGACACTCCGCTGCAATCGAAACCCATCACGCGGTCCCGAAACACTGAACGAACATGGCAATACTGCCATCGCGTTGTATTCCAGTTGTTACCATCGCTTGTGCTGTAACGACACAGGCAGCTATCAGCCACTTGTGGCGGATGGAGCAATCGATAGCTGCGCCCAAACACATGCACGACGTGATATCGACTACACACACATAGCGCCGTTCTGTTGGTAGTCCGATAGAAACGTTTACACCACTGGTGTCAAATTAGCCACTACAAATGACTTGATCCGTGTTTTCGTGCGTTGGACAAGCTCAACTGAGTTCTGCTCGAGTTGTGGTAGACATGTATCATCTGGTCATCTCTGCGAATGTTCAAGGCGAGGCCATCTACGTGTTGAGAGCATTCTATCTCCTCTATGGCCTATCTCCTCTCTCCTTTATCGCGGCATGGTATATTTCTTTCGCCAGTCGACTAACTCTGCGTGGGCACTTCTTTCTGCAAGCTCTGTATACCCCTTGCATGCGTTCCGCTGTGGTCGTGCACCTTTGTTCCCACATGATCTGGCATGCCATGATGCTGGTTGAAACAACTGATCGGTATGGTATACCGGCTCATGTCGAGCTATCTACTGATGCTACTTTCACCGCTCGACAGAGCGCATGGCACCAAGCAGCCTCAGGCACATAATTGCTCTTCGGCTCCTACGTCCATGGAGGAATAGGCGCTTGCTCTATTGCACAGCCATTGTCTCGAGCGCTCCGAGTCGCATCCTTCGCACTCTACATTACGCAAACCGCGGCTTTTATCTTCACGAGACATGTGCCGAGTCCCTTGTTACAGTACGCAACAGGATCATAGCTAGCGGCCTTAATCTTCACGAAGTCAAGGTTGGTAGCTGCTCCTATAGCGTTGTCTGGATTGCACCATCGTGCTCACAACTTGCAGGCCAGTCATGGTCATGTTGCATGTTCATGCCCACGCGTTCGCAGCCGTGTGTGCGATGCAAATCTCGTCAGCAGCAGAACGCAGGCACTCTTTGTTGAACATCAAAACAGACGTCAAAGACAGATGATCCCGAACAAGGCACTTATTCTCTTACCCACTGCTTCAACTGGATCGAGTCGAATAGTATCGACATGGCCGAATAAGTGGCGAGGATTCTCAGAGTACACACCCGAGTGCCTTCACTCGCCAAGAATCTCTCGCAGCTCAGCATCCGGGATCAGAGGGCAGTGACAGGATCCCCAACGCCGTAGGCACGTGTAGCAAAATTGATGACCGTTGGGGCACGTCATGTGAACACATCCGAAGTCACGCTGTACGCCAATGCCACACCCAGGGCACTGTTTGGCTCCTACGGCAACTACTGTTGCCGTATACTCTGTATCCGATTCAAGATCTGATACCTTCCAGTTTCTCTCCTTGACGAGCGTTTGGTACTTAGTATAATCTCCAGGCCGCGTCAGTGCTTCCCGCACGTAGTCTTCGGGCATCTCTTTCTTGCAGCAACGAAGCGGTACAAGTGCACGGTCACTTAACGCCAAACGGCACATCCGTACAATACACGGCTGGCAGTATAAATGACCACACGGCGCAGCTCTCACCACATCCTCGTAGTTCCGTACTGCGCAACTGTCGCAGATGACACGCTGGACCAGTTTTGCGCGACACCGAGCCATGTATGAGATTTCCAGCGACAAAGCGCAAGTTCTATTCGACCGCAAGAATTTTCCTTCTTGGTGTGCTCGCCACTCGTTCGCCAAAGCGGAGCAAGGACTCGAGACTGCAAGTGGTTATGATCTACAGCGACGACAGCAGCAACAATAGCAGCAGGAACACGTCTTTGAGGTTTGTTCTCTTGTTTACTTTCTTCCAATGGTGTGCCTAAGCTTTTCATGTGCGCCCGTTGGTCCCATCGATCGTTTATCTTGACTTTGAACGAGGCCTCGTCCCAATGCCGTGCGCCCGTCACCTTTCTCGTCTGACATGTATCATTGCGTAGCGAAGTAGTAGTGAGCACCATGTGCTTTTTACATTCATTGTGTGTCACGCAGCAATGTAAAACAGCAGACATCTTACGACGTCATGTAAACGAGGTACGAACGTTGTCTCGTCAATTGCTCACACAATGATATAAAAGCTTCGCTAGGATGCGGATCAAATTCTAGGCACCTTGCCAGGACGATGTCTTACTTGGCGGGTGCCACATTCTTGGACAAGGTTCGCCATGTGACTGATTAGCAATCAGCGATACCACATTCGGCTCAAACGGGGACTGCACAACCGGTATTTATGGTCGTTTTGGTCATCACCCGAATCAAGGCATGAAAAAAACTGCGTAAAAGGTGCCAATCGCTGTAGAGAAGCGGTGTATGCCGATGTGAGGGTTTGCTTTTATGTGTTTGTTGTCATAAGCAGGCCTCTGATATTGTGTTGATAGAACCCGTATGATGGGTAGTTGGTTTTCGACAACTTGGACAGAAAGGGTCGGATATGAATGGAATCAACACAACAGTTCGAGCTGTTCTGATAATGGGTCGAGCTATTCTGGTATTCAGAATGGATCGGGCTGTTTCGTTATTGAGTCGAGCTGTTCTGGTGACCAGAATGGGTCGGGCTCAATTATCATACTGTCTCAATTACAAGAAAAGACTACGTATCGCAATAGAATTACAGAACATGTATCGTCTTACAGCTCATTCTCTATGCGATCATTCAGCACATAGTATTTCGTGTACATCTATCCTTTGTAACGGGGCGTCAATGTTACACGTCCTGCTATATGATACATTGCAGGCCCTCACATAATCAGTCCTAGCCAAGTAAACAAAGTACATAAGTAGTATACGTTGTGACCGAGATAGCGGTCACAACGCGTCACATTCCGACTACGCTGGTAAGCGGGTTCGAGACCCATTATAAGGCAGCAGGATATGATCTTTATGTGAGTGGCTCTTAGGCGTTTGGGAACCACTCGTACTTAGGCTAATGTACGATAACATATAAACCGGTGTTGAATTTGATCCTAAACACACACGCTAGCGAAAGCGTGTTTCTTACGCTTCCTCGTAAGACCTGTAGTGTGTGTAAAGTAACGGGACCTGGCTTCGTTACACCTCCCACCGCGAGGATAATAGAATTGACCCACCCATATGCAAAGCTTGTAACTACCCTTATATAATGTGCATATAGTTACCCGACGACGCGTTTGTCGAAGCTCGCAACGATGCGCGACAGCACCATTTCCGCTACAAGATCACGGAGTAAAAAGCAACAAGTTTCCACTAGCGCCGTACCGTGAGAAATTCACAGCCTGCAAATAAATCGTTGTCTCGATTTTAAATAATGAATACGGCTGTCCGTTTCTATTTTTTTGACAAACACCGTGCACACCAAGGATTGTCGCCAAAATTACGAGTTAGTGAGTGGGATCACGGATGATTTGGTAGATTGTATCAGGAAAGGTCCATGCTTCACAATACACCCATATCAATGAGGTGCAGTATTTACGGTAACAATACACGATCGTATCGTGCCTACTCACAATCGGTAAACTGAAGTCCGTGCTGAGGTGAGGAGGTGAAGGAAAATGTAGGTACGCGTACGACCCACTATATCCTGTCGCTGGGCAACTAAGTTACCTCAGCGGCGACTACTTTATAGACTTGGTGACACAAGTCCTTGTACAGCAGAGCGCCTACGAGTATACTCTTGTCTTGAGATGATCAGGTTCCTCGGTGTCAGCTCCGGGCCCTGTAAAACATGTTAAAGGTTGTGATCGACCCCGGTCTGCGAGTGGAAAATCACTGGCACTGGTACCGGGAGGTACGCGGATAGATACCCGTGCAAGTGCGGTACGATTACACTTTGCCGGGGAGTGGCTAACAAACCCGGATAACGGGTCGTACGCGTACCCAAATTTGCGCTAAGCCTTTTCTCTCTGTTTTACATGTTGTTCTGTGTGAGAAGCCTATATACGTGTGCGACATCATTTTCGAGGAAAGACTGATCTCCTTGACAACACCGTGGCCGGAAGAAGTATGGGCATAAATAGAAGCTTACGCGTCCATAACGATATTCGCCATTCGATCCGCCGTTTTGTTGCATGTGCGATAATGATATCCTCATTTGGCGATATCGATATCGTTAGAGACGGCGTGTGCTTCTCGGACTAAACGCACCAAGTGTGGCTCACAAGGAGATTGTGGAGATCAAAGTCGCAAAACTACTAGTACACTGTAACGGGGCACACCCTTGCGTGAACTTAACGCAAGGGTTGAGGTGCCCCGACAGACGTACACGAGGTAAACGAGGAAGCGTAGATAGGGGAAAAGCAAAACTGTTGTATTAATATAATTAAGTCTTTTTGCTACTGTCTCTCTGTTTAACCTGACTTACTTATGTTAATATAACTGAGTGTATGGTGACGTCTCGTCACCACTCATTACGTGCGTCCTGCGGCGATTGGTGGGTTGACATCATCAAGATATCAACCAATGAGCAGACCCTTTGGTCGCTTCACCAATATCACCATTATCGGTGATATTGTTCAAATAATATTCACTTAATATTCTTTGTTGTCACTTTCTTTTAAAGTGACAATTCCATGTAACGGGCTGCCCCGTTGCATCACCCCCCCCCTCTAGCTGATAGTCACTGTGTGACTATCGAAAATTTTGGCGGCCACCCTTTGGGCGCCATTGGGACAGGGAGCACTAATTGGGTCAGTTCCGTTCATAACTCAACCTGACCTCGCATAGTTAACATGTCTATGCGGGGTGACTCAAGGCACACAGAGTCTGTGCCTGTGCCAGCTTCTGCGGCAGACGATTCGTCGTCTGCTGCTCGTTCTTCGCCTGCAGCAAGAGGTGCTGCAGGTGCACGCGGTACAGCACCGCGTGCGCATGATGACCCCGACATTGAGGTCATCTACTCTGGCGATTCAGACGTGTATGACTCGGGCAATGTTGCAGAGACGTCTCGATCACCGGCGACGCCTCAGTATTCGCCAAGGCCACTTCCGAACGAACGGACTCGTGAGTTGCAACACAGTCTGTTCGGCAGTGACGACGAATCTGATGATGAGTATGTTTGCTCATCACCGAGATCAGCTCGTGCTCCTTCGCACGAGCGACTTGACGATGGTGCAAGCCATCGTCATACTGACAACCGTGGTACCGACAAGGGTACCACTGTGACGCGTGATGAGCTGAAGCCGTGGCGTTTGCCTGAACGGCTCATCAATGGCTTGTCTCACGAGACAAGCCAACACCATCGAATACCCTTATCCGATGCGACTGAGCTTCACGGCTTGGATCCCAGCGCGAGCAACTTTCGCGCTGAGGAAGACTTTTATCTCGATGTCTTCCTTAGACATCGATGGTACAATAGCAACCAAAAGCGTGACAAAGCCTCGCTTTTGGCTGCGTGGAACGCGTTCGTCCAAATCGTAAAGAATTTTGGACGAGAAGGGTGGCTCAAGAAGCTTGAGGCAGTACGCCTCAGGTTCGAAAAGCGAACGCCAACCGGTGCCAGGTACCGGTTGCATTGTTTATCAAGTGAGGCCGGCATTCCATGCCTCACTTGGGGATACCCTTGTGCGAGTTCTGCTGACAACTCGCAGCGTGCAAATAGGGACGTGTATTCCCTAAGTTCGCCCTGGGGAAGGGCACACATCTCGGCTGAGATGCGTGACGCGATTGAAAACTTGCAATCCGTCTACAAGCGCCAAAAGCGCGTGTTTACCGATGGGCCACAGGACTCAATCGGATGAGTCTCGTCATACTGGCGGACGAGACCTTCAACGTCCATCAACAGCTGAGAGCGGGGCTCCCAGCTGTTCCAAGAGGGTGGACACCCCCGCCACTGGACGAGGTAGCTCGTCCTTGATCCTGAATCGTCACGGTGGTTCAAGATACGCTCCAATGGAAAGCGTTGACCACCGTGAGAATTCACTAAAGGATGTGGTGGAGGAGGAAAGACCTCCTCCAGATGATTCTGCTCACCATCTCGACCCTTACGAGATGGATCGCGCAATCGATGAATTGCGCGATGACTTGAAGCACGAGCGCGACCGGCGCTACGCTTTGACCGATACCGTGCGGAAGAACCGCAAGGATCGCGAGGCTGATCGGGCGAGAGACCGCGCCGATTACGCCACAGCGCAGCTTCAGGTCGAGCGGGATGTCCGATCCCTTTACAGCGAGCTGGCGACAGCTCGCGGGGAGGTATCTCGGTTGAGTTCCGAGGTATCATATCTGCGCGACCAGACGGATCGTCTGGAGCGCGAACGCAAGAACTTGATGGATGTTCTTGAACGTGGGGGCTATCTTCATCGGAAGAAGAAGGCTCGTACTTACAGTACGGCCTGAGCCTCCCCACGTAAAACGTAGGATGCGTGCGCATCTTACGTGGCAATTCGATCGTGTATGCATTGCCCTTGCGATGCAACACTCGAAATGGCCCAATGTACTTCGGCAGTAGTTTACTACTGCCGACACTAGTGACTGCATGTCCAGGTAAGTTTACCGTAGACAGTAGTACTAGGTCGTTA